AAGTAGCGCACTGTTCAAGTTCAAAGGTTGTCCATCCAATGTGCGCTCATTTTATTGGTTTCACTGCTGTAATCCGTCTTTCTTTTTTAAAGCCACTACATAAAAAAGTAAAAGAACAAAGTATTTTATTTTCCCTCCGTAATGGACACTGTTTGAAATTTTGCACTAACTTGAATTTCTATCTTTTAAACATTAATTGCTGAGTTTTCAACGAATAAAACGTAATCTGCATTAAGGCCAGGTATTTAATCATTGTATAAAAATTCCTAATTGTGAGCCTGTTACCTTTTTATTGGCCGCAGACAAAGTAACTCAACTGCTTGGCAACAAAACGGTTGGTGGAGAACTTGGACACCTCAAACAAACTGAACTGTGGGAAAAATAGTTTATGCACCACGTTTTCACTGCGGCAGAATCCGGTTGATTCAGTTGCACATGAATTGATCAACCGCAAATGATCCTGTCAGGCGTGCGATAAGCAGAGCGTAATTCGATTTGCGTTCCGCTGTTGGCCCAGGACAGATTTGCTCTTCTTTGACGTTTCGGGTGCGTGCACTCTGACCGAACTGTGCGGGCAATGAGAGGTTGATGATCATGATACAAGCGTGTTTCAGCAAACGTACTGCTTTCTCCTGAAAAATCACATATTTTAGCGGACCCCCGGGAGCATACATGCGTCCACCATCCCTGTAGTCAATACATCATCAACAGGTAGAAACTGTTGCTGTTTCGCTCTTCAAGTCATAACTTCAATTCAAGAAGAGATGTTTTCCTTTTGGTGTCGAATACGCGATATACCTTTAACTAAAATTCTGAAACTATAATCAGAAAATGAAGGTGACCGACAAATTCAACCGTTTTTGACTAACCGCAAAGTTGTCTAGAATGAGTTTCCCATCAGTCGCGTATTCCCAGAATGAATCGTGTTCACGAATTTAGCGCATATATCATACCAGTTAATTGTTTCTGACAATTGATTGTCTCCTACGCCAGCACCCCTTTCGAAGCCCGCATTCTCATGGGCTGGTTTTACGGTCTCTAATGCTATCAACAGTTCAAAGACCAATGTAAAAAGAGGCGTATATCGGAAACGGGGACATGTCACAGATCTGTTGCATTCAATGACATTTTACATCGATGACGATGGTCTAACTGAGAGGACATTTTGAATACTGGTAGAGCTTAGATGGGAAAATTAATCAACCCTCAAGTGATAGAGAAATGTTTCAAAGTTTAAGGGAAAAATCGGGGTTTATTAAACTCCTCTTTTGTGGAAAAAATTGACTTTCAGTTTTAAGCGGCCTTCATGGAAGCTTTGCGAACGTTTGGTCAGTTAAACCCAGTTATCGATTTGCAATATAAGCTCATACATGGATTAAATCGGAGCTTGCACGACCCCTAAAGCGTTGGACAACATAAAAATAGTACAATATGTAAACATTTAAAATGAATGTAAAACTATGCATGCACATAGAATATTTCTATTTGATTAAAGAGCTGATTGGGTACCTATTAATGCTAAAAGGTTTTGCAAGCATTACTAAATTTGAACTATCCTTTTTGAAAATTGCTATTCATCTCCAAAGAAAAATTGTTTGTCAGTCCTTCTTTATCAAAACGGTATTTTTGGGTAGTTGTCCTTCTTGTCAGCGGATATTCACACAAATCCGATCAGATTGAGCGTGCTATACTCAACTGCTTAAAATACTTGTGGTATATTCCGACAATCAGTGTATCCTTAATCCTTGCCAAAAAATTACATGGCTTGCTTGAAATGTTCACACAACCGAGTATTATAAATAACGCTTACCTTCCGATATTTGTACTGGGAGTTGCCCGATATGCCTAAAACCTGAAGAAAGTATGACCAAGATGTTGATCGACGATGTGATTGTGTAGGTCTTGCCCATGTAAAAAATGCACATGTATATACATGCTCCAGAGACCTGATACGAATCGCCACATAAGTAGCCTCCGGGTAGGTTAAATTAGCTACCGATATTCACTACACTGTTCAATGTGTTTTGTGCGGTATTCATCTTGATGATTTATGTCAAATTTTCAACACATTTCTTGAAAGTTCGAGTGAANTGTAATATCTAGAGAATTGCTTTTCTTATATATATCACAGGAATGCCCAGCGGGAACCCTCAATGAGGATGTTTTCAAAGAAATCTATTGCAAATTCTTCCCTCAAGGTGGTAAGTGATCAACCGGATATTACCCTTCTTTTGTTTTGCTCACGCGCCTACTCGACCAGAATAGGGCAGACAGAATCTATAACCGTACGTAACACGAAAAGCCGAAATTTCGTCTGGCGTCCGCGAAGGGGGGTTTTCGGGGAATCAACAAACTCATTTGTTTGTTTGCGATCGATGACCATGGTTCAGACTTCTCACAAGTCCCGAGTTCGCTGTTGTTTTCCTTCTCGTTGTTTGTATTTGATAGAACAGAACCCAAACAATCGATTCAGACTCTATCGTTTGAAACCAACCAAGACCGGCTTATATCACATACTCGTACAAACATGCTTTGCCTTTGTGCAGAATATTGTCGAAAACAGCGCATTTTTAAATATCTTATCTCTTTTTTAGCGTAGACCAGAGTCACTTTACGTCGATAAACGTGAGACTGTTAGCTAGATAAACCTCCGCAGTAATCAGTATCCAAAATGTAGACTGTTATGCGTGGACAAGTGATGCAGTGCTGTACGTGTGGTGTGAAAGGACTAATGCACATAGACTGATAATCACCCAGTGCTGTATCGTCTTTTATTCCACAAATGGCTACTCTTCACGTCACTCATTCTTTTGTTTCATAAATTTACTCCACAATGGTGAACCGGTTTTCACCTTATTTCGTGATTGATTTCGGTTGACACAATTGTCGAACTGATCACCAACGTAACGGGGTTGGATGAAAACCTTCGGATGAAATAGTGAATTTTTGCCATTCATGAGCTCCAGTGACGGGGCACTGCAACTTTGGGTCTTCTGAGTAAATAAAAACAAGATTGTGTATAAAACTGAGGTTTAAACGCTCGATATTCAAAATTGACAACGCTACTAGATTAAAATATGAAGAACACGAAATATAATAACATAATCATAGTGGTTACCTTAGGGCAGAGTCAAAACCACAACCATCTTCTGGTTTACTTTTTAGGACCAGAGACAATTCGACAACGTCGTGACGCAGGCGTCCTCCCAAATGATTCTCAAACCACACGGTCTTATCCAGACCTAGCTGTTCACAAGTGTGTGTGGGTGGGGGGGGGCATCTATGCACGATACTCATCGTTTCAACGCATCTTCACGTAACGCATTTTGTCTCGCTGATTGTGACAAAGGCACGTGTTTACTGCAACTAGATGAAGATTTCGATGTTTTACACAATTCATCCAACGTTGACAATCAGCTTCCGCCTCATTGTTTTCTTCCGTGATGAAAAGTAGTTCAGGACTGAAAATCCGACTCCTGAATTGGTTGTTAAATCTCTTTCATCTAGCGCAACTTTAGATCATGGGAAGTTATAAGACCACGTGGGTGACTTTGCCAGGGCAAACTAGAACAGATTTGAAGTTCACTTGTGGGTATGGTTTCATCTGATAATTGTGGAATTCAAACTCAGTTGAAGACAACTATTTCTGTTGAAAACCGATCTAATGTTTACCTAATATAATTTATGACATCAGATTCACCCAAAATTTCGATTCGAGAAATTTTTGATTTATCTGGGACGTTTTGAGAGAGACAATTACACCTTTAAGGGGGTCTTTGATGAGTTGTCTCTTTATCCTGGTCCGTTTTGAGAAGCTATCAACAGGGAATGAAAAGCTCTTCGGAAGCTCCGTCGGCAACGCGTGTTTTGATGCAGAGTACGTTGGTGACTGGACTAAAGTACCGTGTGCTTCAAGAAATTTTGCCCAAAACCAAGGTTGATTTAAATGATAAGAAATACAATCAATGGATGAACTAAAACCATGATTCTAGTCTAATTCAAATTTGGAGTGAAAAAAATTTTTAAGATTCCATATGTGCCAAAATTATGCGTGGAATCAGCAGAAGAGTACGCTTTATTTTCTGTAGTCAAAAGCGCCAAATATTATGGCTCAAAATTGGGGGATTTAGCTTTTGAACCCTAAAATAACATTTATACCGGAATGCAACAATATTTCATGCTAGCGTTAATTTCTCAGAAAGTAAGCCTTTTATTCACACAGATTTTATTCTAATTATTAGAGAAATCAGTTCAATTCACTTTTAAGATATTCACAACAAAACCGACAAGTGACTGTAACTTTTTTACACTTTTCTTTCTTCAGACGCGACTATGTATGCTCAACTCGTTTTTCGATCGTTTGATCGTGAACACAACGGCTCGCTAACATTTGAGGTAACTGCTTTGATTCATCATTATGGACTGCCTCATCTAATCGGAATATGTCTTGGCAATTGGTTTATTAAATTTATGCAAAATTTCTTTTTAAACAGCTCAAATGGTCTCGACTTTCGATGGTCTATGACCGAACTATTTATAACTATTGGTCAAAAGACACGTGTTGTTTTTATATAAACGGATTTCAGCATGTTATTAGTTATTGACTTTCCGAGGGATAGTTTATCACATGAATTTATTTCGACTCGCTGAAGCAAATAGAATTTTCTTAGATCGCAGAAACTTGCTCCCGCATTATTTTTGTGTCTTTGAAAATTCACCGAACTGATCCCTGTATAAGCTTTTTGTCTGTTGGTGCCTAGCAATCAGAAAAAGGAATCCCATTCCTGAAATCACAAATGAAAGCATTGGGAAAGACTTAAATACCAGAATAACAAAATGAAATTTGCTATAATCATACCTGTTTATTTTATTAGGCAGCACGAAAGTGCGCCTATACTTTGTGGGTTTTTTTCCAGCTATGTAATGCCACGAATTTCTTACTTTTTCTCAATGCATCTAACCCACTCACTTACCCAACCATGCATTTTTCACCCAACAAAATGAAGCAATTCATCCAGTCCCTCTCCGCTCTCACTCATGGCACACAAACAGACAAGTTATCATGGGCATTCCGTTTGTACGATATCAATGGTGATGGAATGGTGACCCGGGGTGAAATGCTCAAGGTGGTCAATGCAATTTACGATCTGCTCGGAAGGAACACAGAACCACCGATCGAGGAGAACACGACCAGTGATCATGTGGAACGTGTGTTCCGGGTAAGATTCACTGATTATTTAGAAAGAGATAATGCTCGTCTAGTCGCAAATCAATGCGATCGTTNAAAGATTGCAGGAATCGTTGATACCAAAACTCTCACACTGAAGTCCCCCATTGCGCCCCTCCTTCGACTACCTTCTACCAATTGGAATCATATGTCACAGTTGAAATTCAATGGGTCATCGCGAGTGATAAAGTCAGAGCTCTGGATGTTACCTCATAGCTCAACTGATCAAGTTTACGCTGTATAGAACACAGGCTGTCCTCTACCAGTGGTCTTAAATATCAAAAATTTAAAAATGTTACAATTCTTCATGCATTTCCAATAAAGGTTATGACTGATGAACTTCACAGTTCAACATATTCTTTTCCTTACCGTTTTCGCCAAACTTTTTCTGTCTTTGCCGTTGATGGTTTATAATTCATTTTAAATAATCAACTCATACTTTACACGACTCTTTCGGCTAAAAAATCAGCTCCATTTAGGTATTCAAAGAGATCACGGAGCTATGCGTACTACATAGTGAACACCAAGAAACTCTATTGTATTGTATTGTACTGAAGCTTTAGTGAGTTATATGGAATCCCCAGCTAACAAGAGACCACCGTCGCAATAATTGAAAAAGGAGAAAACAGTGGAGAATCACGTAGGCAAAAATGTGAATCAACTATTAAATTTTATAGAAACCTCAGAACGAGCACAGCTTGTCGGTCATTATCCCGGCAAGATAGGCTACCAAAGCGTTTCCGAAAGCAAATATCCAAGATAGGATGAGTTGGTATTTGGAATGGGTGTAGGGGTGGGATTCGCATGCACACAGGTTAATGTATAAGGGATGCGTGCACTTAGGTAGAATATTCAGCAAACTGTAAGTGAGCATCGATTAGAAAATCACAGGAATTCACAACCAGAACAGATAACGGAACCTGGGAAACGATTGATCATTGAGACAGAACGTCATAGCCGATTGAAATTGGCCTCAGTAAATCAGGGAAAATCCTAGAGGAGCAGCAAAGGTATATAGAGAGAACACTTTGTTGAGCTAAAGCTCTTATCACCAACAAACCAGAACCAAAGTGACGCAATCTTCTTATCTGAAAGGTGTGAATTTTTGGCTTACGAGTAACTGTTTGGGTATGTGAAAATCAACGAAGATAACTTTCAAATGTGACACCTAAATGCATCACATGGCTGACACTGCTCATCGGCTTCCCTGAATTTTCACATTGTTGGAGGCGGATGGGGAAAGGTTTTTCAGTAAAAATACATTCAGGGTGTTTTGGAGGATAAAGATCAGGATCACACAAAGTGAAATAGGTTGATGGAACAGATTTGAGCTCTGTTCAGCCATGTCTGATTGTTCAGATGCGGAAGCAGACATCGTGATATCATTAGCATACTTAAAATGTCGTACGACGGCAGTAATAGATAAGTTATTGATATAAGTCGAAAACAATATGGTGGCCAGGTTGTTAGGTCACCAAATGTTGACCCGGAAGTCCCGGGTTCGAACCGCTGCACTGCCTTCCCTATTTCTGTATTTCCCCAGGCAGCCTTTGCAGGGTTGCAGACCCCTTCCTGGACGTTAACTGTGCATTTGTACAGGTCTAATCGAAATTGAAGCAATGGGTCCCTGTGAAAAACTTGTGTGTTCGTATAGGCAACAGCATTTATACTGGAGTAATTTTTTTCAAATAATGATAAACAAGCCCTGGTGAGTTTTTATAGCAGTGATTTTCCTGATTCGTTTGTACTCAGCAGATGGAATGGTTAAGAATGTACAGGATACTCTCATTTCGTGAGTAGTGGTTGACCTAGAGCATGGCGATTTAGGAGATAATTAAAGAGAATAGAACAGTTTTTATTTACAACAAATTAACATTGATGATAATTAGGATGTAACGTTTATGTAAACTAATAGTCAATTGGTCTGCCTTTGTTCTTTAGGACCTTTTCGGGTCTCTTCGGCATGGAATCCACCAACTTTGTTATGAAATCATTTTCTATTTTGTGCTCCATTACGTATCGCACTTTTGCCTCCAATGTCCAATGCGTAGGTAGCACATTGACCTCTTTCTTCAAAACAGAGAACAGATTTTCAATCACGTTGAGATCCGGGCTATTAGGGGGAATTTGCATGAACTGAACCTGACGCATCTTAAATTTTTTCATTCTTCTTTGCAAAACGGAGTATGGATTGCTGGGAAGATCTTCCCTTTGGATGGACGACATCGTATTTCGGCAATGTTTTTTTTCAGAGTAATACTAATCAGGTTGTCCTCCTGTTTGGATGTACTCGGTTTACGGCCTCCACAAGCTGTTCTGGTTGTGATCTTCCCATCAATTATCCTGTAAATTGTGCTTTTGTCAACGTTCAAGCATTGGGCAATATTTGGTATTGAAAGTCCCAGCTTGTATTCTCGTGCAACTCTGTTTCTGTCCTCTTCACTGGGATAACGGGAACTTTTGTTTTTGAGCGCTGCTTGCTTCATTATAGTGACAACAATACGAACATTCAACGTTGTGCGCAAAAATGACCTTGATTTCACGGTTGACTTTGACTGAAATGGTAGTTCTCGAGTTCAGTTAGTCAGATATCAAACAAAGATTATTATTATGAAACCTTATATAATGCAATTTCTCTGGGTTGTGAAAGATTTCCGTTTGGATACTCAATAGAGTTGCTATAATGGATTATATGTCGGATAGAAAAATGCCTAATAGCAAACATCCGCGGTGGCAAAAGTTTATGGAGATAATCTAGAATAATTCTTGAGTCATTCCTATCATAATATATTGCGTTTTCATACTTGATAAAGTTTGCGTTTTTCATGTTCCGATCATTTAATCTTGGCACCCAAGGTCAGGCACGTTTAATTGACAATTATGCAGCCTAGAAACTACTGAGATTGCAGTAGACAAAATATAAATTATTGTCCACACCTAAAGCATTAATACAGGTGATAAATATAATCAAACTCCATTTTATCATAAAGAAAATATTTCAGTGCATCACAACCGGCCAGTACTGTATATTCAATCAATAAAAAGGGAAGTGAAAGGACATCATGTTTTCACACTGCAGCACCTTGAAGTACACCTGCACTATTTGAAAGAGGCCGTTGACTGTCTCCTTCAAAGTTTAACATACTAATATCTTTGTGGAAAGTAATCGACAATGCATTCAAGAAGAGAAAGGGGACAACCAAACGAGTGGAGCTTGTTAAGTAAAAGATAACGGGACAGTCGATGACAGAATACGGAAAGTAAAGTAGCGTTTCAATCATTTGGATTATTGCGGAATAATTAATATAGAATCCCTTTAAAGAACAAAGAGATATTAGAAACCCTGTTATTTTTTACCAGTAGACGAGAAATTCAATAATTGTCATTATCTGAACATTCCTCGTCTATCAGAATAAAGAAAATCATACAACCAGTTGCTAAGTTTTGACACATAACACATACTAGCTTACTGTCTGAGGGACTGCTCACGAGGACTTGACTGTTTTCGCCCTCGTCTATCGATTTTCCACATCATTGGTATCGTCAGAGTACAATCGGAAGCCGGTTTCCGTTTCCCCATCTCACTATATCTCACTCACTAGTTAAACGAAGTGATATACTAAAATTGGATGAACTGTGTTATTTTTGTGAGGATATTCACGTATCTAAATCTTACGCCAATACAAGTTATAATTACCATGACAATTGCAAAAACACATCTCATCGCTTGACTGGTTGTAGTTTTACTTCGAATATGTGTTCACGTGAAAATGGATTTTCTTCACCAAAATTTTGTTCTAACTCATGTCTCTTCCCTGAACTCAGTGGCAGAGGCTTGTTTTATTAACTTATCATGATCAACATCATCAATGCACACACGCACAATCGTGCACCCCTCGCTGCTGTTCCGACTTCCACCACTACACCAGTAACAGTTGTTTAATGATGACGCTGTCGACGATAGGTTGGGCAGCGGTTATTTTTAGCCTTATGGTCGACCCGCATTCACAGTGCGCTGCAGGCAGCAAATGACCAAAGTTCCTCCGGGAATTCTCGTATTCGTTTGTGTCTGTATGTGTGTTGGTGTGTGTTTAGCCTAGATAGTAGACGAAACTCGTCCGTGCGTAACCGTGTTCGTTTGTATGGGGTTGCTGGTGGGTGGCCCTGTTGTTGGCGTTCCTGAATGAACACAAACACACGGGCGTGCACACGGGCAAACTGGCCAAATTGACCTGGTTCTGTGACACTCACTACTACGATCTTACGCAACTGCGTGGGCATGCCAGTGTGGATTGACCTATACGCGGTCACCGAGGCAATTCTGACCGGTTGGGCTTCTTACCAAGGTTACAGATGTTTGCTGGCAGAGGAATCCCATCTATCTTAGCTAAAACCAGCACGATGTTTCTTCTGTGGCTTACCTGATGGACAGCACAGGCATTGTATCTGATAAACACTCTCCCTTTACCCTGCATTGGAGCTGTTGATCATCGCGCATGTGTGCTTATGTTTATGTCAGCGGGTTTTCATCAGGAAAAGAATACAGCAATGTGATACGCTCACGATATTTTTACACCCATTATCTGTTATGCCACTGATTACCAAAGAATCGTAATTGGAAATTGCTTCATTACTCAACCGCATTAGAACCCTGAGGTTACTCTCATTTGTGTGAATTTAGTTAGTCCCGGAATACCTGTCCTCGCGGCACCCACAAACAGTTTCATATAGTTCCCGGTTTCACGAGGTGGGATTAAAATATCCGGTGATCACGGAATACGTGAACCATCAACTCGCTCCGTATTGCAAGACAATTAGAGTTTTTTCAATGAGTGAGTGATGTGAGCCGGAGTTGCTATGGAAGTTTTCACTCAGATTCATGATGACCAAGACGTTTCCATGTGTATAACGCGTTAATTAATAATGAATTGTCTCTTTACTGCCACTCACCAACTAGTCAATCAATCTGGACTATGCCATGGGATCCGAGACCAGAGTCAACACCCCTGGGGTGGCTGTATTGCCTCTCGGTAACCCACCGAATTGGCTACGATGTTAGTTCCGACTGAATCAACAGTGCCTATTGCTCGCCTTAGAGATTTATAAGTAACGAACGCCTGTTTCGTTGCCTTAAGCGTTTTTCTTGTCTCCTAGTTTTCATTCAATTCTGGGCGAGAAGTTCACCGTTTCTTTATAGAAAATGGTTGTGGTTTAGCTGGAACTGTCTGAAGAAACTGCACAAATAAAGCCGTTGAATGAAGTGGTACTGGAATTTTATCGCGTGACAGACCGGTCAATTTCAATGGAACGGACAATATCGGATCATTCACCTTTCTTGTACTTGATCCGTGGTATAACTGAAATGACAGTACCTTCAAACATTTACCCAAAACACAAATCCATTCATTAGTTAATTCAAACGACAACGGATGTTTTTGTCCGCTTACAGGAGCAACAGACTCCACATGTCGCATTTCATAGTGAAACATTCACGACATACTGTTCATCATCGTCACTCAGTTCTTTGTTCATTTATGATTACCCATAAGTGTGGATAAAATTAGCAGCAGGTACATCAAAATGAATCAATATTTGTCAATTTTCACTGAAAAAGTAAACATACAAACATAAGAATTTAAATTGTTCGACTGTGAGACAACTCATTTCTGGTCACGTGAATTCATCAGATGGTCATTTAGTTACAATTGTTGCGTTATGCAGCAGTATCATTCACTTGTGCAACCTAGATAGCTGTCCCTCTCTGAACCAGTGAACATGCTAACCATCCCTGCATGCGTGAATCCCATGCCTATCCATCCTAATTGTTCTCGTTGTTGTTGTATTTGCAGCGACTAGATCTAAATCAGGATGGAGTCATCACTTTGGACGAGTTCCTTGAGGCATGCAAAAATGTGAGTGCCCTCTCGCTTTGTGTTTGCTTACATCTATTCACGTTGATACCTTCATGGGCTACTATGTCTCATCTAGTCCACAACAATAAACACCATATACGGAAGCATATTGAGAAATAAATCAGGAAATGCACATTACGAAATGAGTCGTGCAACAACTACTCTCCTAGTACACTCTTGTGAGTAAAAGAAAGAAGTACACACCAGATGTGTAAAATAATAAATAATAAGAAATAAAAAATAAGAACTTATTTCTCGCCCCTTTTCCCTAAACTAAAAGAAACTAAAAATAGTTCACTGAAAAGAGCACTAATGAAAGCCATTTTACACTAGACACTTGATCGTATCACACCGTCAGGCAAATATCCACCCGAGAATCATTGGTATTCCGTCTCGTGAACCTGGACAAAGCGCAAACCGAATCCGATAGTTTGGCGTGAGACAAATCAATCAATCATTTACCCCAGAAAAAAAAATTGTGTTGCTTGGTTTATACCAAATGACCGGAAGCATAGTTCTATGCTTCTGACAAAACCAGGTTAGCCAACAAGAATATTTCAAGTCGTTTATTGTCTTTGAAAATTCAAAGTTACCTGTGCAACACCGCAAGGGAAAATTGCTTTTCCTCCACATCTCCAAACATAAATCTAAGCTGATCTCGTGAAAATAGCACCTGTTTGAATGGGGATACCAGGTGTATTGTCTAACGCAGAACTATACGTACTACTTTAATTTACGTGAACATCTGTGATGTGAGAGGGTTAAGGCATCCTAAATTGTAATAATTGCACTTTTTAATTTCTTCTAATTAAATACATAACTGCAATATGAGAGTAGTGGATGATCTTCAACCGCTAGACACCAAACTCGCTCTCTCCCTCCGCTTTTCCTGAACTGTGGTTATGCAATTGTTGATGATGTTCTAAACTGCGGCTGAGATACAAGTGGACAGATTATATCACAATACTTGAAGCAATGACTGCTTTTCAAATTTCATGAAGAAATAACCATTCCTAATCAGATTGCACAACGATTATCAGTGAGTACTGAATAAAGCATTAAAACCGTTGGTGTGAAGTTGTCACTTATGTCCACGTTTTATCCGTCTGCGGGGTTTCTACATGTGGACAACAGAATTTCGAGATGGAAACCTTTATGCACATGCTTGGATCGGTTAATGCAGTAGCATGCTTACCGGTCATCTTCCTTCGTGGTATTAATGAATGTTGCTATCAGCCACCCTCAGGTTGAACCAAGTGCTTCAATTCCATTGTTTCTGTGTGGTATTAGTTTGATACAGTTCAGAAAAAGATGGCATTCATTATTGGTGTAAAGTATCACGCACATGTGAATAAACTGTTTAGACTTCTCCTAAGCGCCTGATTCAGTCATAAAATTTATGAGTAAAAACACTACTGGTTGAGAAGGATCAGGTCCAATCAACACATCGATAGTTGGATTGTGTTTCTGTTTACATTTATCTGTTCGGTACACAATTAAATATTGGATCCCGGTTACCGAACAGTCAACGATTTTCGATCTACTAAATAAGCAAAATGATTTGACTGTATACTTGTTGTTCTTGGAAAAATTGTGTGAAATGCAGTTGAGTCCTAACGGGAAAATGAGATGGGCAGTAAGTTTGACTAACCTCCACAATAGGAAATTTACGAAACCTCCCCCATGACCTCTAGTGGTGTTCCAAGTGATCATTGACAATGCTGGCACTGTGTTATGTGAGATGCTTGGCTCGTGTGTGCCGTAGGATGTCCCCCGTGCACGAATACATCAACCGAGTCTAGATGTGCGCTGGAACCGTCGACAGTCAGGATGTTCTCCGTGGAGAGGACGATCTGAAAGAGAGGAAAATGCAGACACTATGAGCCAAAAGGTCGAGTGAGACATGAACAAGACTCTTATTCAAACTAATGACAAGTTGCCAAGGTCGTTAGAGTTATTAGGACGTGTTCAATTATGATCGATCTTATGATAACTGCATTTCATTGTATTATTTCAGGATCCAACCATCTGTGATTCTCTGGGGAAGCTGACCACCGTTTTGTGATTTCCAAACCATTATTGACGAAGTTCGTGTACCGTCAGCTGTAACCGCATTATTTTTCCCCCACACACTCAAATCCGACAAACCTGTATTCAATTTGCTGATATCGATCTGCTTCCCCGGGTCCATTTCCCCGTGCGTTTTACCCCATTCCTAATCTATTGTGTTTTGTGGTTGTATTTCTTGTGTCTTCACTGTGACTGAGACGAACTTGTAATGTCTCGCAGACAATCACACTCATCAAGAGATGCACACATGCATACAGAAACACGCACACTAGCACGACCCGAACAGATATAACACGGCAGACCAATACACAAACAGACAAACCGACATACATACACACACGGGCAGACTGACTGACGGACCGACTGACTGACTGGCTACTCACTCGATTACCTCTCCCAATAGGACCTGGTTCAGCGACTCGGACTATGGTAGAGTGCGACTGATATTTTTGTCGGTTTTTCTGTCCTTTTCACTGCCACTGCTATTGACTATGGTTTCACGTTCAACTCCAACCTATTTGTTGTTCGTTTACTGATCTTCAACCGTTATTAGTGCAATGAGATAAGAACCTAACACGTCGTTCTCAAGGCACGTGAATCGAATCGATACAGTCCACAACAATTTGAAACCGATTAGTTTCATTTTGGTTTGAGGGTCGACAGTCGGAACGTAAGCGGTTTGTTGCTTATAACCCGGGGTTTTAAGGCATATTTTTAATTGAATAGAGAAGAAGACATTTTTCTCTATATCTGAAAATGAAATTCTTGTTGTTACCTCTTCAATTATCTGAAAATTCTGTAAATCATTGTAAGTCAAACACAATACTGCAATTATAAATCATGTTTTATGTCAGTTCAGATTTTTTGCAGAGCTGATTCCTTTTGGAAGTAGTTGACTTTATATAAAGCCAGTTCGACATCATTCTGCAAAGGTTATTCCTAATGTAAGCTGGTTCATCGTTCTCGTTTAGCTGGGGTATATTTAACAGTTTAATCGATCAAGATGGGTAGGAGGGATAAAATTAATCTCTAATACTATTGAGTTTTTAGGTGTAGTTTGAAACGTTGCATGTGATCAGTCACTTCTCAATCTGAAGAATCATTGTTCGTGCGTTCAGACGGCCGCAACGTGACGCGAAACCAAACAATTTTCTCTTTCTACGGTTTGTGGTAACTGTCTCGAGATCCTATTCTTAAAATTCCATATCTACTCTTTATATGCTTTGGCCGTTCTCATGCATCAATTTCTCGTATGAGACTACTCAGGTAATTGCTAACCAGTGGTGAAAATGTTAAAGAAACGAACGCGATAAAACTACGCGTGATAAATTCTTGACAACGGAGATCTTGATGAGTTCATTTACAGTTTTCCAATTCGCGCTGAATAGCTGTTTCGGAGGTCAATATCAATGACCGTCTATGATGTATCATCCCGAGCTATGGGTCTCCATTTGCTGAACGTCAATATAGTTCACTTGAAAGAATAGGTTTATTCCAGTTGTTCCACGGTTCCATTCATGTATGGTTCACATATTTCCCAGATTCAAAGTGCTGATCATTATTTACAGAATTATACATAGGTGAAAACAAAGTTTGATTTCCTTCCATTCGAATTCACTTTCATTCTCAGTGATTGACTATTTTGTAAAATGTTGTACAAATGTGGTCTACTCATGCTTTCCGATTATTTGTAACCGATGGAATATGTACAGGGATCAATAAAATACGGCTACGGATATAAAACCCCTTTATATCATAGTATGATTTCCTGACACCACAGAGGGTAATCATTATAGTCCGTTACGTGATCATTGACTTGGCAAATGTTGATTTCCTGCAATCAGGTGACAATGGGATGTAGTTGCTCGCTAATGCAATTGAACAAGCAACCATCAAAAATCGATAGCTGTTTGATCCGACCGACTGAATTTCTTCAAATCTAATATTACTCGACGGGCTTTCCATTTTCTTATATCTATCATGAAAGAGTCACGCGTGTAGATTAAACAAACACACTCAGTAAACAATCGATCCAAATATTTGTCTTTTTACCACGATGGTTATAATATCCATAACC